AGCATTATTAAAAATAATGCAGCGTGTATCAGTACACACAGACATTATTCGCAATCCTTCGTCATCCTGACAAGTACACGCGATAACGTGAACATCTCAAGATGAGAAGTTGACAGTGCTAAAGGCCCCTCATACAATATCATCGGGCGCCTGAAGCACTGCCAAAACGGTCACTGTGAGTCCTTTCAGCTCAACTTTAGAGAGAAATAGTTTCGTTTGCGCTTGTGGGATTTTATCCTAGATATACGCATGTGCAGAACACACCATAAGTTCTATTCCCGTGTTTATCCAGTTTAATACGCTCTTTGAATTAACCTTATCATTAATGATAATATGTAAACTAGAACATTATAATTGACCTCCGCTTGTGGAGATTTTAATTTAGGGCGATTAATTAAACTGAAATCTGTTCTATGATCACGATGCATTACATGCATGTCCTCACAAATGTCTAGTGTAACGTTGGATAGATTCATTGTCATACGGTCGCAACAAGCAGCAACGTAGTCTTCCAGCCGAAAATAATTACTTTTGATTCGGGTCAGTAATTATAATAGATAATTACTTCGGCCAAACGGCATTATTCGATATATTGCAGCCAGCTTCGGCCTTCGGCCTCAGCTGGCTGCAATATATCGAATAATGCCGTTGGCCTCAGTAATTATCTATTAAATATAGACTGGTGCTTTTTCCTCCGTAATGACAGATTGTCCCAATGAGAATGTTAGAACTGGCATCGTAACTAGACTTCGTAATCACCCCGGCAGCCCTATTTTGTAAATTTTGCACTTTTTCGCATATTCTGCTCTTCAATGCTGTTCAATGTTGTAAACAACGCCTAGTTTTTAATGTCTGGAAAAAATAAGGGCCCCTCGCCAGTTCCACGAGGCACGACGTTTCTGATGTGTTATAGGCTTCAGTTTCAAACGTCGCGCTACTCGTGTGCCGAACGCATTAAAAATAATAGATAATGAGATGAAATGCCTTTGGTAACTGTTTATTTCGTAGAGTAAGCCATCAAATTTTCTAGGTTATCGGCGACCCTATATAGTTCTTGCAGTGTCATTTTCAATTTGAAACTTTACACTATCCTTGGATCCTTAGGGGCCCCGAAATAAAAATTTGCCCCGGGCCGCCAAATTTCTCTGATAGGCCCTGTGTAAAATAATATGCTTCTGTTATTTGAAAGATGTTTTAAATTATATAAAGGGAGACATCTTTCCCGTATTTTCTCCGGTAGCAAAGGCTAACTCGCTTTCATGCGCGCGAATGAACAATGGATTGCGTTATGAAGGATACTTTTTAATTTAAATACTAATGATTAATGTCTTCTGTTCATAATCTTATAGGTCATGCTGCGTCTTACTGGACAGGCTGGTTGGACCGAGATAATCCTTCAGGCACAGGGGACTGGGAAACGTATCGTTCTTTTAAAAAGGTAAATCCAATTAAAGTTGAGATCTGAACATATAATTTAACATTGGCCATGTAACAACGACTTAAATGCATCCATACAGTATATACGTACACGAGCGCTTATACTGATATTCCTAACAATTTCCTGCTTTTACTATCCTACTCCATATCCTATAAACCTAATCCTTATGCTTATGTTACCCTATGCAACTTTTGTTTATCTTAACCGTATACCTTAATCTTAACTTATATTATCCTATATCTTAAATATTATCTTAAAGGACAGTGGCAATAAAATTTTTTATTGCTTTCTCTGAAAGACCATGAAAAAATAAGCGGATTGGCCGTTTACTGCTCTATTCTATCTCATCTGGTTCCGCAGTTATACGCAAAAATGTGTAAAATATAAATTGCTGATTCAGCACAAAGTGTGACGTCATTAGTTGGGTAGGTAGTTTATTGAATAGTAAACTAAAGCATAGCTAAGTTATTATTGGCTCAAATCAAATAAAATTTTGCATACAGATAGTACATGATGAGATGCAAGGGAAAATGCTTTTAATTTTGTTGTCAAGGCAACACAGTCGTTCCCAGGCCCTTTACACTGATTTTGAATAACTAGTTGCATTTATCTATGTGTATGTCGTTTTCGAATTATTACATGCAAGTAAACTTTTGGCAAGATTAGGTATGGTACGCATACTTCTGATATTATTTTATCCTTATCAGTACCATGAATAAAGCTGTTTTATAAAATTGGCGCAAGGGGCCTGGGAACGACATTGTTACCTTGGCAACAAAATTAAAAGCGTTTTTCAATGCGTCTCATCATGTACAATCAGTATGCTAAATTTCATTTGCTTTGGGCCCATAATAACTGAGCTATGTTTCAGTTTACTATTCAATAAACATACTTACCCAACTAATGACGTCACACGTTGCGCTGAATCAGCAATTTATATTTTGCACATTTTTGCGTATAACTTCGGAACTAGATGAGATAGAATAGAGCATTAAACGGCCAACCGGCTTATTTTTTCATGCTCTAAGCAATAACAATTTTGGTTGCCACGGTCCTTTAATTTAACCCTATATCCTTATAATCTCTTCTTAACTATATAACTATATACCTTTATTCTTATATCTTAGCTACAATCTTCTTGGACAAAACCCTTGAGATCATTCCACCAAATATTATAAAGTTATGGAACATTGACAAAACAAACTCCTCCTCCCCTCCCCTCCCCTTCCCTTCCCAGTTCAATGTTTTAACAACGCCGAAACAACTTTTGGTAATATACCTGACATAAGCTCAACATTGATTTGGGGGAGCGGTGGCTTTAGAAGGGCAACATGATTCAACATGGAATTCATCATTTAAAAATATACGAATTTTGTATAGGTGAAAAAATAGTCTCAACCAGTTATATCCAAGATTGTGGCTATATATTCTTAATCTTATTTAACCACATATATATATATATATATATATATATATATATATATAACTACATGTAGTTAGATATTGCTCTATGGCCTTTGGGTCATATTGAGCACTCTACAGGGTGAGCCATTGCTGCTTACGCATTGTGCGCATGCTCACTGCTTGCAGTTTGAGCACTCTGGCAATGGTTTGATGTCCCACATTCGTGAGACATCAAAGGTAACTATTAATAGTGGTTACTTTCATCCTGCTCATCAGCACTACACTGATGAGGCCCAAAAGGCGGAAACGGTACCGTTTCAATAAAGATATATATATATATATATATATATATATATATATATATATATATATATATATATATATATATATCTTTATTTGTATCTTAACCCTACAACCTTAATCATCAGGACCAGCCAGAGGAGTTAGCAGAATCGAATACTAATATATTCGATAATGGGTTGTTCAGTAAATCAGTATACCTAAAAGTCTAGCTACAATCATTTTCAAAATAGTTGGGACACATGCGGTTTTAGGTCATAAGTGCATGGATATATGCAATAGCAAATTATTTCAAACAACTTTAGGTCCCTACCCCTCCACTTCCCTTGTTGTTTACTCGATCGCACACCAAGGTAAGATGGTAACTGAGACTCAACATTCAAAAAACGGCGGGGGAGGGGGGATGGGCGGATCGACGTTTGTCAAAATAATAGGCACTTGGGGCATCTGTCCAAACCATTTCAAAATTATTGAAGTATAAATATGCCTGCCTGAGTATCAATCCTTTAGGTAAATGTAGGATACTATATCCCAGCATTTTAACCTATTTTAACAATAAAATATATCCTGCATATATAGCCAATTCAAAAAAAGATTGTCCTTTGCAAACCTATAAACTCTAAACCTTAAACCTTTTAAAACTCTAAGCGTGCAAAGCATAATGGGAGCACAAGTTTCAAGCTTTGTAGTTGAATATTGCAGCTTCTGTGAATGAGTTGTTCTCATAAGGAGATATTTACCATGTCTCTAAGAAATGGCCCCCATATATTATTTCTAAACTGATTAAAATGTGCTCCCATTATGCTTTGCACGCTCAGAGTTTAAGGTTTAGAGTTTAAAGTTTGCAAAGGACAACCTTTTTTGAATCAGCTGTATACCAAAAGTAAAATGGTCTGAATACCAATATACCTGAAACCCCTGACCAGGCCAGAATCTTATCTTAACCCTATATCCTTTGCCTTATCTTCATAGTAATCCTAACTTAAATCTAATCATGAATTATCCTTTACCTGAAATGATCGGCTTACCATAATAAATGCAGTTAAACAGCAAAATTGTACAGAGTGTCTGATCTCCCAAACTGAATGTCCCAACTATAGCTACATCAGCATTAATAACAAACATGTCCTGTCAATCCATTGATATTAGGCTGATATCGGAATAACCAACCGTTGATCAGCTTTCTACAAGACGGTATACCAATACTCGAACTTGTCCAAATTCAGGAAACTAGGTTAAAATAATTTTTAAAGAAAATGGCCACTTGGCTAAAACTGATCACTTCTAAATAGCAAGTAAACTGATTAATGAAATGAGAAAGAATCCCGGGCAGAGAATAGAAATGTCATGAATTCGCTTTTTAGACAAATATTATAGGGCATGCAGTTCCCCTTCCCTAGGCCTGTCTGGGTTTCCGCATCATTTTTACTATAGTTTTTCTTAATATTAGATTCCCCTTATTACGTATACGTTTTTGTAGCGCTTTGCATTGTGGTTATAGTGGTATTACTGATATTCAAGATGGCTTATTTTTTGTCCTGACCCGTGAAAGAACTTTTAAAAAAAGCTAGGGTCAGGTGCGCGATAGCCAACAGCAAAATATTCGCGAAAACATTCAATATTATATTTTCATTGAACTGGCCGCTATCTTTATCAGTGATACCAGATCACAATGCAAAGCGCCATACGAAAACGTAATAAGGGGAATCTAGTATTACCTTGGGAACGAGATATTGGTGATATATACGATATGGAAAATAAATCATCAGTTTAAGGCCAGTGTAGAGTAGAAATTTATCATGACAGAAGACTTTAAACAATATAGTAATCGTAGACTATATTTAAAACTAAAGAATAATAATATTAGGTAGAAATAGTACAAGAAATGAATGAAAATAAATAATATTAGGTAGAAATAGTACAAGAAATATGAAAACCACAAAACTGTGGAGTAGAGTTTTCACATGTATATATTATATTGTCCTTATATGTGCACGTGCTAACGTTCTCTGGTACTATATCAAATATACTTGCTCGCATGTCTAGTTCAATTATATCTTTTATAACAGTTAGATTGTTAATTTAAATGGGTTAGATAGGTTGCCATCTCTTTACAATATCTAAGAAATACTTTTAAGTATTTTTTATAACCTGCGCCAGTCAGAATCTTGGTGTCGCAATCGAGTGATTCTAGAAGGCGAATGTGGTCGCTTGATTGGCATGATCATGATATGTTATTCAATATTCATTCGATCCAGAATAAAAATCTGATTATTAGATTAAATATATATATGTTATTTACCGGATTGGAGGTCCGTATAGAGAAATATTTCTCGAGGTCTTAAAAACGGCCCGAGGCCGAAGGCCGAGGGACGTTTTTAAGACCGAGAGAAATATTTCTCTATACCGGTAAATAATATGTATTTTTTTTAATTCCTCCTCTGCATGATTTCCCCAATCACTCCTCCCGCACGCGAATGAAGATGCCAAATAAAACGTCGTTTCTGTCAATGCTATCGGGAAGAGTAATATCTTTTGTGAGATAGTAAAATTCGCTTTCACTGTGTTCTTCATCGTCTGCAGACATTTTAATATTTTAAAAAGTAGCCTTTAAACTCGTCTTTAAATTTTGAAAAATAAAAACATTGGCTCTACGGCTTTAAATCTCGCGCGGTCCGTACGGGCTCATACGGACCGCTCACGTAGCCAATCAGATTGCAGAAAAGCGTAAAATATGACTTCGGACCGCAAGAAAAAAAATAAAATGTGGTAAGATCACAAAATAAGTACGGGTAATTTTTGGGACACCTTGTATAAATAATGTAGTCGAAATCATTTTCTCTAGGCACCATGTCACCCTGGCTACAAACCAATTGACGCCAAATGTAGAGTGAAGTACGGAAAAGCACCCTGGTATAAGGCAAATGAAGAGATTCCTGCCGCTTGCTATCGATGTACACCCACGGGCTTCGCTTGTAAAAATGCTGATCAACCCGATCGTCGTTGTAAAGACTACGAAATACAGTTTTTGTGTTATAGACGTAAGTATATATCATGCTGAGGTCACAGGTCTCTACTATAAATTAGGTCTGGATGGTAGAAAAAGCATTTAAATTAAATTAAAATGGGATTTGGACAATTGGACTATTGGATTTATAAAAAAAAGGAATCGCTAGAATTATTTCAGTGCAGCTAACGAAGATCGTGTGACTGCCTACTCTCGTGCACTATCTGGCTTTACTGCACTCACTCACTTGAAATATCATATTAATGTTATATTATATTTTTCTTTATAGGACATTAGCATGCATGAAGCAAGAACTACATTACTTAATTTGATCAATTTTTAACAGAAGCATGAATCTGGATCTACTTTAATTTTGTCATATTTTTGAGATAAAATAAAATAATTCTGAAACTGAAAATTCTTTCTTTATGTGCTATAATTTTCAATTTATAAAATGTGTACGGGAATATCATACCGCACGTGATTCATCAGTTTTGCATTGCGCACTTTTACTGCGCATATCTAATAACAAGTTCTAGCTAATATATGTCGTCGAATTGCAATGTAAAGTGATAAAGAAAGAGTAAGGCCTGTAAGGGCAAAGAGAAAAACACTCTGTATTGATTAGACATGCTTCAGGAAATATATCTTCAAAAATGACAGAACCCTGGCTAAGGGCTCTCTGTGTAACCATGGATAATAAAATAAATGGATAGGAAACTAGCTGACGTGATCTAATGTTTTTACTGGGATTGATGGCGTGGTTGGATGCCTCAACCACAGAATAGATACACAACCAGAAGTGTCACTCAGACGATATTTTGTCCGAAATTTTACGAGTGCTGACGTGAAAATACGCCATCATATGACGCCATCCTGGAGTGCACACGGAAGGTTTTCATAGGAAAACATAGGTACAAAGTGCCGTGTGCACTCCAGGATGGCGTCACTGCACGTAAAAAAATTTCGGACGTTTTCCTTCAGTCAAAACACATAGGAGTGTCCCTTCTGGTCCGGTATCTATTCTGTGCCTCAACCTAGTTGAAAATCAAATTCTCAAAAACGGCATATTTAGCAATAATACAGCTAAACATTTTAGTCAAAGAGCAAATAAATGTAACCACGCCATTCTACGATGAAAACTCTAAGTATTCCCAGTCAATTTTAGCAAATATTTAAAGCACTAAACAGTGAAAAATACATCGCAAATTTCGTTAAAATTTGTGACGCCAATTTCGTAGCTACAAATGTAAAAAAATACAAAACAAAGACGAAAAACATTTACCTTGAATACTTTGTCGTGGCTTAGGCATGTTTTTAGAACAATTAGACCAGTTTACGCTTCAAGATCACCCTTTTAAAGTGGAAAATATAGCAAAACAACAAAAATGCCGAGAACTTTGGTAACATTCGCAATACGCGTGACGTCACGTTTTTCAACAAGGATGCAGTCAATGACGTCAGAAGTTTCCAATCCATTTATTTTATTATCCATGATACCATATAGATAGAGCGTAATATAAGTTTTCGTTTTACCTCAAAAAAAACCCCACAATAGTCCGTATAGGATGAAACAGACTATTGTGGGGTTTTTTTTTGAGGTAAAACGAAAAACTATATATATATATATATATATATATATATATATATATATATATATATATATATATATATATATATATATATATATATATATATATATATATATCCTGGTGTGAAAGTTTATTATCTCTCCAGCTCTTTAGTAATTTTGATCATAAGTAACGTCATAGGTGATTTGACGTACAGATGCATTAAAATGTCATGCCAGCAGACTTAGACTATAAACAGTGCTCTGTTTTACACTGCTCTGAAACCATCATCTTCGATAAAACACGCAAACCCATGTTCAGAAGGGAAAGGAAAAAACGAACATTTTTTAAAAAACTCTCGAACGTCCGACCCTGACGAGCTAGCGTCCCTTGGTAATTGGAACTGGTTCAGAGTACATGACTGAGAAACTTTGCACATAAAAACATTGCATGGCTTATGGATTAACACGCAAACTTCGCCCCGCCCTACTTGGTGCACAAGGGTGCGCACCCCTGTTTGGCCTTGGTCAACAGGGGTGCAAGGGGGGTGCAAAAAAATCAAATTCAGAAATATGGCACAATTCCCAATGTTTTTCCTTTTTTGAAGTCAAACTGAAGCTCATAACTAAATGCTCATATCGCAGAAAATGGCATTTCTAGGGTTCTAATTTTCAAAATTTGCTGGGGGCGTAGCCCTGGACCTCCTAGGGAGCTCGCGCCTTCGGTGCTTGAGTCGTTTGGAAGCCAATTCATTTGAATATTCTCCCACCACCCCTTAAATAATTACAAACAAACACTCGGCTGCTTGCCCAGCACCCCCCTAGAAAAACCGTGCTGGATCCACCCCTGTTAGCAATTGCCGCTTGTGTTACTCCGAGTTCTTTTTGTTTTACATTTTATTCACTTTTAAAGGAGTATTTTTAATAAAACTTTTACAAAACATGTGTTCGTTGTCTTATCGTTTTTAAAAAGCGCTAGACTATATTACTGAGCCCGTTTTTACAACATAACCGCTGACTAAGTTCCAGTCTTTAAAGCTGTTTCTTAATTGTTTTCTCACACGGCTACACTCTCCCCTCCTTCTTGAATGTCGTCTCTGACATTTTAGATCCGTATCTTCTTAACACAACTGTTCCAAGTTATAAGTATCCTTAACAATTCAGACACTCGAGTTGGTTGATCAGGCCAGCTCACTAACCGAAACGTAATCTCTCTGTTCAAGACACTATAGATCCTAAATACGTAAGTTACCTTACCTTAGCTAATTTGTATCAAGTACAATGAAATCCTAAGTGAAGCAAATGTGTTTTTTTTTTTAAATTTAAATGTGAACGTTTAATATGTTTACTTGTTCCTCTTTGTCTTCTAATACGTTGGGTAGTAACCAAAAGGCGGTGGTGATATCATAGGGTTCATAACTTGTGCGTGGAACATGGGATTCTGTATTGGACTCATCCACGGTACTGATATCATCGGAGGTTGTATCGGTCCAATCCAAGGTGGGCCAAACCACGGATCTCGTATTTGAACTAATCCCACGTTAGGGTCTTGCCAAATGAAAGGAAATTCACCCGTAGGACAACCAGGTGCATTGTACCCAAAACGTAACGGTGGCTGTCTTTGCCTTTGTGGACGAACCGGTTGCGGCGGTGTTTCTTCGATATCACCCGGCGTTTCCATCGTTTCTTCTACTTGTATGTTCAGCCTGTTCGCGTCATTTTCATTACCATGTACTTCCCTACTCTGGTTAATCTCGTCATTTGTACTTGGGTCCACTGTCGCGTCGTTTGCCGACTCTGGTCGTAAGCTTAACTGTACAAGTTCGTCCATTTCGTTTGGAGGCAGCGACAGTCCCTCCTCCCCCTCCGAATCTGATTCTGAATCCTCTGGGGTGTGTATAATCGGGGTCCGTTCTTTCACTTTCTCTACCCGCTTCGTCTCTGGCGTTGCTGTCGGTAAATAATCACAAGGTAACAGTAAATTTCTGTGCAACGTGCGTATCTTTCCCTTTCCTGATTCGGGTTTGATATCATAAACAGGACTCTCGGGATTCTTCCTCGATACCACTACGTGAATCTCCTCTTCCCAGAACGCTCGTATTTTGCCTGGACCTCCGCGTGGTGATAGGTTCCGAACAAGCACTCGGTCACCAGGTAAGAGGACAGTCGACCTTACGCGTTTATCGCTCTGTTTCCTTCCCTTAGACGCCGCTTTCTCCGCAGACTTGGATGCTAACATGTAAGCTTCCTGCATTGCTTTCTTCCATTTATTGGCATAAGCTGGATAACCGATTGATTCTTCTTTTCTTGTTAAGTTAAACATCAAATCAATGGGAAGACGAGGCGGTCTACCAAATAGTAGCAAGAACGGGGAGAAGCCAGTAGATTCATGCTTCGTACAATTATACGCGTATATTAGTTTGTTCACATGATCCTTCCAATTAGACTTGTACACTTCGGGTAACGTTCGCAACATGTGTAGCAAAGTCCTGTTCATCCGCTCCACCTGGCCATTTCCCTGTGGATGATAGGGTGTCGTTCTTGAATGTGCGATTCCCGAGAGCTGCTCTAGTCTACGAAACAGTTTATTTTCAAACTCCCCTCCCTGGTCGTGATGTATTCTAGACGGGAAGCCGAAGCGCGGAATGAAATCATTGTAAATTTTATCGGCTGCCGTGGCCGCGGTCTTGTTCCGTGTTGAATACGCTTGTGTATATCTGGTAAAGTGGTCGACTATGACCAGTATATACTCGAACCCTCCCGAACTTCGCTCTAAATGGACAAAATCAATTGATACCAGTTCGAATGGTGCGGACGTAGAAATGGAGTGAAGTGGTTCTCTGTTGGTAAAGGTGGGTTTTCTCTGTTTAACACAACTACACACGTGCGTGATAAAATGTTCAATATCGTTCTTCATTCCAGGCCAATAGAACCGTTCCCTCGCGAGGTTGAAAACGCGTTCTGGACCAAGATGTCCCATTTTCTCGTGTAGTTCTCGAAATACTAACGATCTATACTTCGTTGGTAGTACAAGTTGCTGGCCTCGATACAAAATACCGGTCTTCCTGTCGATCATGAGATTATGCCACTCCCGGAGGTATTTTTTTAGTTCAGGGGTTTCTTGTTGCCTTTCTTCGAGAGTTGGTTTCTTTCGCGCCCGTACATACCACTGAACCCGACTTGTCGTTGGGTCTTCTCGTTGCGCTCTAGCGATCTCTGTCTGTTTGAACTGGATGGTGTTTTCTCGCTCTGGCAAGAATAACTTGTCTGTCTCGAGGGCCTCCGGCTGATCCGTAACTGATGTAATCCAGGGGAATCACCATTGCTGACGGAAGAAATCTGAGAGACTGCTGCGTTGAACTCCGGATTTGAAACCGTTTCAGAACAAGAGTCCATGAATCTTTCGAAGTCCGCAGGAATTCTGGACAGGCTATCCGCGTCGATGTTTACTTTTCCCGGTCTATATTTGATCTCAAAATTAAAGTCTGCAAGTTCCCCAACCCAACGCAAACCGGTCGCATTAAGTTTCGCTGTCGAGAGAATATAAGTCAGTGGGTTATTATCAGTATAGACTACGAAGGATGGTGCATAATATAAATAATCCCTGAATTGTTCGCTGACCGCCCACTTTAGAGCAAGAAACTCTAACTTCCCCGCATGTAAATGGTAGTTCTTCTCAGCTTGCGTTAATGTGCGTGATGCATATGCGATGACACGGAGCGTTCCGCCTTGACGCTGATATAACACGGCTCCCAGCCCGTTCTGGGAAGCATCTGTATGAACAACGTATGGTGAACTGTAATCAGGGTACGCTAGAATCGGGGGTGAGGTGACGCAATCAATCAATGTATTTAATGCCGTCTGGTGTTTCATAGACCACTGAATAGGGTGGTTCGATGGCAGTTGCCCATTCTTCCTGGAGTTCTGATTAGTGTTCACTTTCCCTTCCAACAGCTCATAGATGGGTTTAGCAATCTTCGAAAAATCTTTGATGTGACGTCGGTATACTCCTAACAACCCAATTACTCTTCGAACCTCTCCGACAGTTCGCGGTATTTTGCTCTTCAACAGGATAACAGCTTCGGTTGCTTTTGGATCAATGTTATACCCCTTTTCTGATACTATTCTCCCAAGAAACGATACTTGACGCTTGAATAACCTGCATTTTCCTGGCTTCAGTTTAACACCATGTTGTTGCAGTTTCTGCAGAACTAGACGTACGTGTTCAACATGCTCTTCGAATGATTTGGAAAATATAATAATATCGTCGAGATAGGGAATACATATCTGGTCACGTAAATCCCCTAAGCATCCTTCCATGAACCGTTGGAAACTAGCTGGCGCGTTCGTTAGTCCGAATGGGATGCGTACCCACTCGTAAAGCCCCCACGGCGTCACAAATGCTGTGAATGGTTGACTATCTGGGCTGACAAAGCCTTGATGATACGCTTTGCCTTGATCTAATGTACTGAACCAGGAGTTTCCCCCTAGGTTATCTAAGGTTTCTTGTATCCTGGGGATGGGGTGTCTGTCTTGAATGGTCTTTTTATTCAGTGCACGATAGTCGACACATAGTCTCATGGTTCCATCCTTCTTCCTGACGCACACCACGCTGCTAGAGTAAGGTGACTTCGATCGTCTGATAAAGTTTTTGTTCAGTAGGTCTTCCAGATAGTGTTTCACTTCCGGGTAAAGTGGACGTGGAATGGACGCGTAATTTTTCTGAACCGGTTGTCTGTCCGTAAGATTTATCTCCATTTTCAAGTCCTTGATGAACCCAATGTCGTCATCGTCGATCGAAAAAGTATCTCGCTCTTCATACAACATTTTTTTTACCAAAGTTTGCTGTTCGGGTGTGAGAGTACTTAAATCGACTTCCGGTATGAATTGTTCTTTCTCAGAATTTACAGCTGAATGGCAAGGGTCCTTAGTTTGACTAGTCCTCTGTCTCTCCATTCCAAAATTCATATCAGCTCTTTTCTCATCCACATTTTCCTTTAATTTCACCTCAATTGGTGTAACAGAACGAATAAGTTCAAGGCTTCCCAAAACAGTCCGTCCAGGTAGTACGATGTCATGCATTGTATCGTTTGTCACTTGCACTTGCATGATTGTGGATTTTCCCTTTTTCACAGATGTTAAGGTTTCATGAACTATTAATCCGGGGGGCCACTCTTGTTTTTCATCAGGTTCAAAAAGCACTGGTCTTGTATTCTCAATCGTTCCCGTATTTGCTCGACAGGGTACTGTTTTGGTAGCTTTCTTCGGTATTGTAATGTGACGTTTGGATGTTTTTACTTGGCAAAACAACTCCCCATCATTTCTTTGGATAATGTTTATCAATTGCTCAGCATCTTTCACTCCAACATTATTAAAACTTGACACTATATGGTGTGCCACTGATAAATTATCTGAGTAGTTTTCACCTTCTTGCAAAAACAGTTCAATAACATTGTACCCAATTATTGGTTGTTCCAACTGTTCGGGTGTTACTAAGAATGGTACTGTTACTTCTTTTTCATCTTCTCGGTTTAATCTAAATCTAGCTTCCACCCAGCCTTTATAAGGGATCGACGTCCCATTTGCCGCAGTTAAATTCAGACCAGAACCCGCACCAAGCAATTCACTAATATCACGTATTTTCAAATCAGAAAAATTGTCAGACAGTACCTGTTCCGGGAAAATGGAAACCTGAGCTCCAGTGTCCCATAACGCTTCCATGTCAACATCATTTACAAGACACCGAACAAAGCATTTGCGACCAACAAGTTTAGCAATTGCAGCGTGTTTCT